CAGCAGGGGGCAGCTTTGCAATGAGGGTGGAATGATTCTGGACATACTTTTGAAGCCTCACCAAGGAAGGGGCCTGTCCTGCAAGGACAGGGTGGTCTTCAGTTCACCCAGTGCTATCCTCACCTTTCCACTGATAACTCAAGTTTTGTCATCCTACGGACTGGGGCAAGATGAGGAGAACCCACCTGTCCCTAGAGGAGGCACCAGGAAGAGGCTGAGAACCTCCCCTGTGCCTTCCCTCTGTTCCTCCCCCTCCACCAGTCCTGGTGACATTTGTTGTGAGTGATTGGGAGAGATTATCGACTTTAATGGAAGGAGGTAATAAGGGGTGATGAAGGAATCTCACCCGTCACCTTAAGGGAATTTATGAGGCTGTATGAAGCAGGGAGGAGGTCTGGGCTGATACCTTCCCTTTCCCTGCGGGAGCCCTGAGAAGACCAATACCTTAAGCCTAGCACTGGCAAGCAGGGACCCCCAATTCTTGCTGGGTACCCTCAAACACACCCTGGCATCTCTAATTTTGAATGCTTAGCTGCCACTGTGAAAGCTGAGCCAAGCAGGCCTTACCATCTGAAAGCATTGACAGCCACCCAATACAGTGGGAAATCCTGGACCCCTTCCTTATTTGGGCACTGTGAGAAGCAATAGAGTTTCTGGGGTTGGGGCCTAGAGGAGGTGAACAAGTGAGGAAAGTGATCAGGACATGGACTGTCTACTAGGATGCAGGACCCATCCTTTGAAACCAGAGCTCCAGAGCTCTAGCCCCTTCCTCTCCTACAGGGAGCAAGCCTCCCTCTTTATGAATATTCATGATCATTTGCATGCTAGAGACCCAGAACTAAGAGAAACCCAAGCAGGTCTCTTGCAGATGTGATGCAGCTGGATCTCTAAAGCCCTCCTCCTTCTCCTCCTCCTCCACCTCGAGATCCAGCTGGGTGAGGGGTGATGGGAAGGGGCCACCTCCAGAGAGACAGTGTTATATTTGTCTTTCTCTGTTCCTTGGTAGTACTCTGACTTCTTGACCCCATTCATTCAGCACAATGATGTATTCCCTGGGATAGACAGGTGGTGGGACATGATGGTATTATTCGGTACCCCAGGGGCTCACAGGGCAGGCTGGGAAGGATTGGCAAGGCAAGCCGGCTGCAGAGAGCAGGACCTACACCACAGGAGTTGTGCAGAAGCTGGCTGGACTAGAGCAGACAGGCGGAGGCGCTCCCTCTATCAGGGCTTCCCCACTGCTTTCCCAAGAGTCGATGCCCTTCCAGTCTCACTCTGGTGATAATGCCTGCCTGCCTGCCCACCCAGGAGGACTTGGGGTAATTACAAATCGTTTCTATATTCAAATCCAGCTGGTTGAAGAGAGATTACTTCTCTGAACAGCCTAGGCAGGTGGCGGGGCGGGTGGGGGGGGAGACATGCATCTTAGCCCCAAGAAGGGACCCCCCAGGGAATCTGGGGCAGAGACAACCTGGGAAGAGACCCCACCCAGAGCTTGACCACAGAAGGCTGAACAAGTGAGGAAAGTGATCAGGACATGGACTGTCCACCAGGATGCAAGGACAGAGTAGAGGCACCATCCCCCTGCACCCTTACACACTAGACAAAAAACAGGACAAAAGCCTTGCCCTTGTGACCCATTGGGATCTCCCCTAGAGCTTCTGATAGGCTGGAGGGGACCAACCATACTTAGGCATTAAGAGGCCAGGCTTCCTACCCTGATCTACTGCTATGCTAGGTGACCTTGAGACAAGTCTCTTCAGCTTTCTGGGCCTCTGTTTTCTTATCTGTGGAATGGTACAAACCATTAAACCATCTCAGCCTGGGATCCAGGAAGGTCCAAGGTAAGGATTTTAGCAAGGGCTAGACTTTGGAAAGGGGTCTTTTGTAATAATGATCTTATTAGCAATTAATTAATATTTTTGCTAAGAATAACAGCCACCAGTGACCCAGCTGGGAGGCAACACACTGCCAAAGCCCAGGCCAACAAGGCAGCTCATGAGAGAAAATGGGGTCAAACAAGGGAGCTCCCTGGCCTCACCCGGCTGGCCTCAGCCTCGCCTCCCACTGGGCCAGAGCTGCTATGCTTCGCTGCCCTTTAAACAGATGAGAAAATGTTCTTCTTCTCTTCCCAATGATTTATTTGGCCCAGAGCCTAGGCAGGTTTCCTTCTGGCTGGTGGGACCTAGAGTGTCCCTCACTCAGGCCCTGTCTACCGTTTCCATTTAGCCAGGCACTCTAGGGGGTTACTCAATCCTCAGGGTACCAAAGTCTCTTTTTAGTTGCACACCCACCTGGGACACCTATCAGAAGCTCAAAACATGTCCCCAAAGACATCCAAATCCACGTGACAATCTCTTCACCAAAGTCTGCCCCAGAGCTCATAGGCATCATACCTCCCCCCTCTGAGGGTTGTATGTCCTGGATGGCTGTGCTATGAAAGGTGGACTGCCCTCTTTATCTGCATGAGGTCCTGTGTATCTAGCTTCATCTTTCCTGCTGCAGACATAAAATGGGTTTAGGGGCCTTGAGTAATCTGGGCTGGGTGTTTGTCATTTTCGTGGTGTTGCAGACTGGGGAGAGAGGGAATAGTTATCCTCCCAGAGGGTTGACACCTGGGTGTGTGCAGCCCTTTTGGGTAGTGCCTAAATTCTCCAGCCCTGAGGGATGGAGAAATCCTTTAGGTCCTGGGTAGTCCTTACAACATATCTCAAACTAGATGGTACATGTGAGTGATTAGAAAGCCTGGTGCCAAGAAGGCTTCTTTTTTTGAATCATTCGACAAATACATGTCAAGTGTTTGGTCTGTTCGAGGCACTAGGAGATCCAGTTCATCAGCTAGTTCATCCGTTCCTGTCCCTCCAAAAATATCCCCATCTGTACACTCTTCACATTATCACTGTCAATACTAGGGTCCAAGCGCCCAGACTCTCGGACTTGCCTCTGAGCTCCCCTACTCCAGCACCCTCTACTGGGTCCACTAAGCCATCTCTTCAATGTAATCCCAAATGCTGCTTCTTAAGCTCCGTTTCAGGCCCTACATGTTCTGGCTCCTGTCAACCTCCCCAGACCCATTTCTTCTCCTCACCCCACATGCACTGTGCCCCATTCAGTCCCACAACCTCACTATGCCCCACTCAGTCCCATGACCTCACTGTGCCCCACTTGGTCCCATGACCTTCTTGCTGTTCTTAGAAAACTCTAAACCCTTCTCTAGCAATTCCCATGGCTCACCTCTTCTTATTAGGAAGGCTCAATTCCCCCTATCACCTCCCTCAGGAAGCTTCCCCTGACTACACCTCTAAAATAGCCCCCCATTGCTCCATCCCATGCATCTATTATATTTCCTTGGTAGCATTTATCTCTCTGAAAACCTGTTATTTATGCACATGTCACATGTTCCCTTGCTTCCCAACTGTGAGCTGTGAATTCCATGAAGACAGAGACCTTGTCTAACTATTCACAACTGAATCCCTTGGCAGCTCTATGCCAGGCATAAGGTAAGTAAATACTCAGTAAATTGAATGAATGGATAATAAAAGATCCAGGAGAGACCCAGTCCTGCTCGGGCTATGATCCTTGGGCTTTTGCCAGGGATCCAGTGTCTCCCAGAGGATGAAACAGAAACAGTCTGGGGTCACAAGAAGCCTTCGTCTCTCAGTAACTGCATAACCTCAGGACGGTCAGTTATGTTCTCCAAGCCTCAGTTTTCTCTTTTGTAAAATGGAAATGATTGAAACTTACCAGAGCTTATGGAGGTGAAAATGGCAAGGTGCCTTGCTCAGTGCTGGGCCCAGGAAGGCTCAGCTCTGTGACTGAGGGCCCCTTTCAGATACTCAAGGCCCAGGGCTGGTCCAGATTCTGGGGACATGGAGATGATTCAGAATCAGGGCCCTGACCTTGAGTCCCTCCCAGCTTGGGTTCTGAACCCTGCGAGTGTGTGTGTGTGTGCACGCTGAATCTTGATCCTCTCTCTGCAGAACTCTTCCCCCCATCCTTCTCTTCACTTTCCAGGTCTGTATCTACACACAGGCAAATGTCTACATGTGTTGGTAACCCTCATCCACACACTGCCACAATACCTGACTCACAGAAACAACCACACATACAACCCCAAGATACAATTCCACAACCTCATTTTTCTGGTCTAGAGGCACCCCATCTACTCATCCATGCCCTCATCTCCCACTATAGGCTGGGGTCAGACACAGTCCCTTGAAGGAGGCAGCCAAGGCACTCCCTTGTGACTTTCTGATCTAATCCCACAATACCCTGCTGCAGACCTTAAGAACAGGCCCTGGCAGCCACTCCAGGCCACCAGAGGTGGCAATAGCACACCCTGCATGCATATTCAGAGGCTGTGGACATGCATGGGGATGGGGGTGCTGTGAGGAGCAGCTCCCAGCTTCCAGCCCAGGGAGGCACAGCAGACTCCCTCAGTAAGGATGGCCTGAGGCACACTGGCAATGGAGGACCAATGTGTCTAGCCATCTGGGCTGTTCCAGGTCCTCTCCCCTGGGCTTTGTGCCACCTGGATCCTGCTGAACTGGGTTTGTGCCAAGAAGGACAACAATGAACAGCAGGGAGGGTTGGGACACCTTCGAAGTGAGGGGACCAGCTCATGCTGCTGAACCCCTCTGGGGCCAGACATTGTGCCATCTGCTTTTTACTTACTGTGAAAATTAGCCCTCAGGGGCTGGAGCAATGGCTCAACGGTTAAGAACACTGGTTGTTCTTGCAGAACACCCGGGATTGAATCCCAGCACCCACATGGCACCTAACAATTGTCCCTAACTCCAGTCCCAGGGGATCCGACAGCCTCTTCTGACTTCTGTGGGCATTGCATGACACGGGTGCACTTACCTATATGCAGGCAACACACACAAACACACACACACATAAAATAAAAATAATTAAAAAAAATTTTTTTAATTAGCCCTCAGAACCATCTTAAAATCTATATGGCCACCCCATTTCACAGCTGAAAGACTGGTTTAGAGAGAGAGAGAATCCATGTCTCTCCTTTATTCAAGGTTGTGCAGGACCCGTTTCAGCCCTGCCCTATCCTCCCCCAGAGGACAGACCAAGGACCAGCTGCAGAAAACTATTTATTTCAGAATTAGAGTTGATCTTCCCAAGACCAGCTTCCTCAGGTGACAGATTCAGAGGGCTTGGCTCCTGGCACTGGATCCTACAAGAGGTTGGCCACAGGATTTTAGGAGAGATAATCAGAGTTGATAACAAGGTACAGAACCACTGACCCCACACACCTCCCTGGCAAGCTGACATCCATCCCTCTCAGAGTATAGTCACTGCTGGGTGAGGGGGTGTGGCCCTTCCATCTCACCACCAACCCTGGCACAGTTCTGTCCCAGGCTAGGGGTATGGCCTGTGAAAGGGGTAAAGAGGGAGAGGAGGTTCCTGAGGGTTGTAGTTAGAGGGGAGGGGCCCACAGTGCCTGGCTGAGCGAGTGTTCTGCGTGTCAGAGTGGGAGTGAGTGGGGCTGTGGGTACACGAGTAGGTGGTTGTGTGCGTCAATGTGTAGGGGGAGAGTCTGTGTATATGGTGTGCCTGTGTGCAGGTTTTGTGTGTATCTGCCTAGGCCTTGTACGTCAGGAGCTTGGATCTGGCTCTGGAATCTCTACTGCTGCTGCTGCTGCTGCTACTGCTCTGTGTGTGTGTGTGTGTGTGTGTGTGTGTGTGTGTGTGTTTTCAGGATAAATGGTGCTTTCATGAAATTTTTTTCTGTTTGTGTGTATATGTGATATAAAATGCACATACATGTACATGTACATGTACAATCATGCTTTGTGATTGTTCCTCTGTGACGCTGTGTGACAGTGAGGTCAAGGGTTCACGGGTGGCTATCACCAAGTGAATGTCCACTCAGTGTGTGAATACGAGGTGTGTGGACAGGCCAGTGTTTGCCATTGGAGTTCTATGGAGGCATAGTATGGTATTTCCTTGTGCTGAGCACATGCTTAACTCGGTATATATGTGCGTCTGTGTGACAGTGCATGTGTCCATGTCTGTGTGAGTGTCTGTGTCTGTATGTGTGTAAAGAAAGTATTTTCTGGCCTGTGTGTTTGACCTTTGGTGAGTCAGGGTGTGGCATTTGCAGGCCTGGATCTGATGTGTTCATGTGTGTACATGTTCAGTACATGTCTTTGCCAGCCTCTGCCACTGGTCACCATGTATACTAGGGTGCACGGCATAGGGTGCCAGCAGGTCTCCAGCTTCCAGTGGAGTCTGTGTGTGCCCATGGGTGCCTAGATTTGAAATGTGGGTAAGTGCATGGCATGTGTGTACAGATATGTGATTCTTACCTTTTGGGATCTGTGGAACAGTTCTCTGGGAAGCACCCTCCCACTGGGGCTGAAACCTTGGCCATGCCTGACATTGCCAGCCAGGGTGGCCAGTTCTGGCCCTGCTTTCCCCAAAGGACCATTTGTTGTGGGAACCCTGAGACTACTGGCTGCCAGGTTGAGTCAAGGTCACACAATGGGGAGGACTGACTCTGTCTCCTCTAGTGGCCAGAACCACTCCCCACTCACACCTTCCCCCAAGGCTGCCAGCTCCCCCCACACACAGTGTTGAGTCTTCCCTGGGATGAATTTTAATTCCCACTTGCTCAGGACAGGCACAGTGAGTTCTGAGCTGCTAGTCCAGTTGGCTACAGGGGTGCCAGGGGGTCACCAGCAGGGGCCACTGAGTGGAGGAAGGGAGTGTGGCATGCATGCAGATTTGAATTTCAATGGTAGTTGAGACTAAGTATAGCTGTGTTGGGCAGTTGTGTGTGTGTGTGTGTGTGTGTGTGTGTGTGTGTGTTCTACAAATGTGCACCTGCAAGTGTGATGTGTCTGGATGACAACATGCTTTGTGATTGTTCCTCTGTGATGCTGTGTGTCAGTGAGGTCAAGGGTTCATGGGTGGCTGTCACCGAATGAATGTCCCTGAGAGCCTTTCAAGTGTCAGTGCTTCTGGGCATTTGGTCTATATGAGTATGTCAATCTCATTGTGTGTCTGTGTTCTGGATCCCGCGTGTGTTTGTGAAAGCCATTGTGTTTGTGTGCCTGGTGCCTATGACACTGAGGGAGCATCTATGGAGGTTTGGAGGACTATCCATGTGACACACAGGTGAACATTAACATCTCTGAGTCTACGCTGGCATGTATCTGCAGGGATGAGTGTGTTTGAGCATATCCCTGTTCCAGCCCTCGTCTCTCAGTGTGTCAGCACAGCTGTGTGCTTGGCGTCTGTGTCACTGTGCATCTCTGCAAGTGTTTGTGCCAGTGTTAGTGTGTCTGTGTGAGTGAGTGTTCATGGGAATGAGTGTGTGAGTATGAGGTAGGGCCAGCCCTGGGCACACCCACCCTTCCTCCAGGGGCTGGGCACAATGGGCTCTTGGGAGGCAATGGCTGGAGAGGATGGGCTGTTAGGGGAGGGGCGCCTGGCACTAGTTTCACCACTTTGCTGGCTGAGGGCATGGGGGCAGCTCATCCGTCTTGAGCAATGGGCCTTCACTGCTGTGAGATTTTTGCCAGCTGTAGCTGTGCTGGAGACTCCCATACAGCACAGAAAAGACCACCCATCCCACAAGTAACAGTGCCCTGAATACATGCATACACGTGCCCCAAGTTAGACACACAGCATTCCCAAACACCTGACATTCACAAGAGTCCAGGACACCAAAAGTACACACACACACACACACACACACACACACACATACACACACACACAGAAGATTCCATACACGTGCCCCAAGTTAGACACACAGCATTCCCAAACACCTGACATCCACAAGAGTCCAGGACACCAAAAGTGCACACACACACACACACACACACACACACACACACTCACACACAGAAGACTCAGGTCAATATGTGTATGCATTTCCATCACTTGACCACCACCCCCAAATGGAATTCTTAGTCTCTGAGGATGAAGAGAGCCAAGATTCAAAGTCCCAGGGAAAAGGACAATCTTGAGTCACTTGATGGCCGCTCTACTCAGTCATGCCCTATGCTGGGCCTTGGGGACTCAGGTGGCTCACCCCATGCCCTACCTCCCAAAAGTGCACAAACAAGGGTTGGGAGCAAGAGGTGGACCCCAAACCCAGCCTTTTCCATAGGATGGCATTCCACAGCCAGATGCAAGCTAGGGCCAGTGGCTGCCTGTATATGGGAGGCCCCATACCTCCCCAGGCCCAGGGGGGAGGGGAGAGGGCGGGGAGGAGATGTCAGTATGCCCAAAGACAAGAAGATTGGCCTAGAGATGGAATGAGGGCAACAGGGCTCCTTCCCTGACAGCTGACCCGCATTCTGAGAAGGAGAAACCCAGTGCACCTAGAAGCACTCACTACTGGGCCTGGACCCAAGGCTCTCTGCTCCAGAAACAGACTGCCCACATGAAGGAAAGAAAGATGTGCAGATGCAGGACCACAGAAGTGAGGGAGCACTAGACAAGAGGTAGAAATAATACGCTCTGAGCATTCTGTGTGTGTGTGTATGTGTGTGTGTGTGTGTGTGTGTGTGTACAGTGTGTATGTGGGGGGTATAGTGTTTGTGTATGTATGCAGTGTATATGTGGGGGGTATAGTGTTTGTATGTGTATACAGTGTGTATGTGGGGGTATAGTGTTTGCATGTGTATATAGTATGTATGTAGGTGGTGTAGAGTTTGTGTGTGTATACGGTGTATATGTGGAGGGTATAGTGTTTGTGTGTGTACACAGTGTGTATGTAGGGGTATAGTGTTTGCATGTGTATATAGTGTGTATGTGGGTGGTATAGTGTTTGTGTGTGTATACGGTGTATATGTGGGGGGTATAGTGTTTGTGTGTGTATACAGTGTGTATGTGGGGGTATAGTGTTCACGTGTGTATATAGTGTGTATGTGGGTGGTATAGTGTTTGTGTGTGTACACAGTGTGTATGTGGGGGTATAGTGTTTGCAGGTATATATAGTGTGTATATGGGTGGTATAGTGTTTGTGTGTGTATACGGTGTATATGTGGAGGGTATAGTGTTTGTGTGTATATACAGTGTATATGTGGGGGTATAGTGTTTGCGTGTGTATATAGTGTGTGTGTGTGTATATGGTGTATATGTGGAGGGTATAGTGTTTGTGTGTGTATACGGTGTGTATATGGAGGGTATAGTGTTCATGTGTGTACACAGTGTGTATGTGGGGGGGTATAGTGTTTTTGTGTGTATACAGTGTGTATGTGGGGGGTATAGTGCTTGTGTGTATATACAGTGTGTATGTGGGGGGTATAGTGTTTATGTGGGTATGTACAGTGTTTGTGTGTGTACAGCGTGTGCCCATGTGTGTATATGGTATGTGTACTGTATTTATGTGTATACACTGTATGTGTGCAGTGTTTGTGTGTGTACATTGTGTGTATACTGTGTGTGCACTGTTTGTGTGTGCATAGTATATGTGCATGTATAGTATTGTGTACAGTTCTGTGTATGTACAATGTGTATGGTTGTATGTATACAGTGTATGTTTGTGTGTGTACAGTGTCTATGTGTGTACAGTGTATGTGTATACAATGTTCGTATTTGGGGGATGCTGTATAAAGCAAGATTAGGCTGAAAGCACATCACTGAGGTAGGTTTTATTCTGAAAGCAAAAGAGATATATGAACTGTTTGGGACAGGAAAGAATCATGGTCAAATTTGTTTAAGAGGGCTGGGAAGCCAGGTGTGGTGGCATACACCTTTAATCCCAGTGCTCAGGAGATAGAGGCAAGTGGATCTCTGTGAGATAGAGGCCAGCCTGGTTCTACATAGCCAGTTTCAGGACTGCCATGGCTGAATAGTGAGACCCTGTCTAAAAACCAAGAAAAGAGGGGCTGGAGAGATGGCTCATCGGTTAAGAGCACTGACTGTTCTTACAGAGGTTCGATTCCCAGCACCCACATGGTGGCTATGAACTGTCCTTAACTCCAGTTCCAGGGGAATCCGAAGCCCTCTTCTGACCTCCGCAGCACTGCACAACACGGGTGCACTCACATACATGCAGGCAATACACTCATACACATAAAATGAAAACAATAATTTAAAAAAACAAGAAAACAATAACAACACAACAACAACAAAGGCCCGGTTGGCTTAGTGGGTAAAGCACTTGCAGGTGTGAGGACTAACGCTCAGATCCCCAGCACCCACATAATACCGGATGGGCACAACCTGCCTATAATCCCAGCACTCTGGAAGGCAGAGACAGGCTCCCCAGAGCAAGCTGGTCAGTCAGACCAGCTTTATCAGTGAGCTCTGGGTTCAAAGGAGAGACCTTGCTTCGGTGAATAAGGTGGCGAGTGACTGAGGAAGACTCCTGACACCAGCCTTGAGACTCTATGCATATGCACACAGCATACACATGAACACATGAAAAAAACTAGAAGAATACTTGTTAAGAAACAAGTAAGACAAAGCCAAATGATAGAGACCTGTAATCCCAGCTACCTGAGAAACTGAGGCAGGAAGATCACAAGTTCAAAGTCTGCCTGGGCAACTTAATGAGACCCTGGCTCAAAATGAAAATACTTTAAAAGTGAGAAAAGGGAGCTGGAAATACATTTCAGTGGTAGAGTACTTGAGTGCATGTGGGAGACCCTAGGTTAAATCCCCAGTGCCACGAAAAACAAACAACAGGGGCAAATGGATGGTAGAAGCTACAAGGTCATTCATTCATTCAACAAATATTTGTTGACTGAGTGAGTCAGATAAATTTTTGGACCCCTAAGTCCTGACCTGGTCACTGCTGTGTTTATGTGGACTTAATAGTCCAGTGTGGCAGGACAGACAGATGCAAAGAAGAGAAATCGTGTAGAGTAAGGGGGCAGGAGGGAGGGAGCAGAGGGGGCTGCTTAGGGAAGGTTTTCAAGGAAGTTGCCTTTGAGAAGGTGACATCTAAGCAGACTCCTAAAAAAGGGGAGGACTATTTGGAGGAAGAGCTGTCCAGATAGGGAAAATTGCAGGTGCAAAGGCCCTGGGGGAGGAGTATGCCATTTACTCTGCTGGGGAAAGACTTGTGGGAAGTCAGTTAGTTCTATTTTGGACTTACTGCATCAAGGTGCCTTCAGGACATCGAGAGACAGTGACCAGGAAACAGCAGCGATCTGCGGGGAAGAAAATAGGGATTAAAAAGAAAGGAAGCCCAGGTACCAATGAGGAGAACTGCGGAGACAAGGAGCACCTGGAGGCAGAAGAGTCAACTGTGGGGAGACAGGCTGCCAGGGATGTGGGAGTGAGGAGTAGGGCCAATGTGACTGAAATGGCAGCCCCAGAACCGTGCTAGTACCAGCTGTCCCTCCTCCAATCCCACCCTGCTTCCTGAAAGACAGCCAGCCAGGGAAACAGGCTAGGCTGCTGACAGGAGTCCCTTTCTAGATGGCCTGGGGTCCTGCTGCCTGCATCCTGGTCATTAGATATGGCATGCCCACCAGCTGAAGCAGGATCCTCTACCCCATAGCCCCCTCTCAGCTGTTATCAAACCTGGGAACAAGGGAGCCCCAACTGAGAGTGGGGCGGTCTGGCCAGATTTCCCAAATAGGCTCTAAGCCTGCTGTCATTGGGATTTGTGGTAACATCCAAGCCCGCCCTTCCAGCCATAGATCAGGATCTCTGGGAAGACATCCTCACATTCAGATGGGTTCTGTGGTATGCTGGTACCTGTTCAGCCACTAACACAGGCAGAACTGCAGAGGTAGAGCTCTGCCTTATAGCATTTGCCAGCAGGTCTAACTGGCTGGGACAAGTCAGCTTCAGTACTTTCTTTAAGACCCTTTCCAGAGCGATGTGGAGATCCAGGAAGTCTGAGGTTCATGCAGGGAATACACCTGTTGGTGGGAGAGGAAGGAAAGCCAGGCTTTGTAGCCTCATCTTCTCAATACCTGTCTCACACACACACACCCCAAGGAGAAGTTCTCTGAGCCTCATGTGCCCCATTGTTCCTCCAGCTCAAGACACTTGGCAGAATGCCCAGGCCCTATAGCCAGCACATCTCCCACTCTCACCCCCAACACCCACTTTCCCTGCCATTGGAAACTGATGCCAGAAAGTCCTGGTCCTTTGCTACCCTGACTCCCAGCTATGGTCACTGTAGATGGGTGAGCTGGATGTCACATCCAGCTTTGCCACCAGCTCCAAGGAGATTCTCATGCCCTTAGTTTCCCCATCTGTGAGATGGGTGGCAAAAGCTAGCCTCTCCAACAGCCCTTTCACTTGTGATATTCTGCCATTTCTGTCACTCTTTGTATCAGCCCTGTGACAGGCCTCCTCTCTCAAACATGTCCCCAGCCTCTTAGACACTCCCCGTCATAGTGGCCCCCCACTGCCTCTGGCTCCCCAGGCTCCCCCATAAGGGGCCCAACTAATTACATTAGGATTTCATGCCAATTAGCAAACAATTACACGGGCAAATTGGTGCCTAATTTGGAGCAATAACGAGAGCTCCACCGGCTGAGGAAACATAGCTACAGACAAGACTGTTCACCCCAGCCTGGCCCAATGGGGTCCCAGGAGGATGGAAGCCAGTTTTTCATCCAGTCCTGAACCAAAGTCTAACTTCTTTTAGGATCCTTAAGCAGCTGTACTGATTACATGGTTTACCCTGGCCTGTGCTAAATGAAGAGAGGGAAAAATAGACTGGGCAGGCTTCATGGAGGAGGTGGGAAGGCAGGAAGAAAAATGGCCTGGGTAGGGAGGTGGAGCGGGTAATAATTAACTTGAGCCTGGCTGCTGGAATGAATCAAACACACTCAAAGCTAATGGGGAGCAGAGCTGGCCAGAGCACGGGATGCAGGGGAGGGGGGTTCAAGCTAAGGCTACAGAGGTATGGAGGGACAGATGGGGACTGTCACTGCAGGAAATTCAGACATTCTCCTAGAGGCCTGTGGGAGTCACTAAAGGTTCAGGGAGGGAGGAGGAGGCTGAGAATCATCTTGGATGGTTCACTAGCAACCACCCAACCCATCCCATCTTCAGATTCATAGAACATGGTCTGGTCCCTCCTCTTAACATCTTTCAAGCTTACCACTCCTGTTCAGGCCCCCAGAGAGCATAGCTGTCCTGTCCTACCCCCCAACATCAGTTCATTTGAGTGTGTATGGGGTATGTGTGTGTGTGCGTGTGTATACGTGTGTGTATGTGTGATGTATGTGAGTGTGGGCATGTGCTTGCCATCGAGTGCATATGGAGATCAGAGGACAACTTTTTTTTTGAGACCGAGTCTCCCTGTAGCCCCTGCTGACCTGGAATTCGCTATATAGACCAGGCTGGCCTTGCTCTCACAGAGATCCACCTGCCTCTGCCTCTGGAGTGCTGGGATTAAAAGCATGGTGGCCTGGAAGACAACTTTTGAGAGTTGGTTCTTGCCATCTATCTTGTTGAGGCAGGGTATCTCTTGTTTCTGCCGGGCTTCCTAGTCTAGGCTAACTGGCCAGTAAGCTTCTAGGCAATTCTCCTGTCTCCGCCTCCCATCTATCCATTGGAGTATCATAATTACAGAAGCAAACTTTGACTGACATCAGCTTTTTCACATGGGTTCTGGGGATCTGAACTTGGGTCACTGGCAAGCAATTTTACCCACTGGGCCATCTCTCTGCCTGCCCCTCCCACACCAATTCTTTCCCACATCTCCGCTAGCAATCACCCTCTGACCCAAACCCAACCATATTCTTTGGTTTAAACTCTCCATGGCTTCCTGGTGTTATCAGAATAAAGTTAAAGCTTAGGCCATCTGCATGGCTGATTTCTGGCACCTGGGCTCTGGGGACCACTCAGCTGTTCAAACTTCATCCTACCTCTCATCCTCCCTGTACTCTAGGAGTTGGATGCTATGTGCACAGTAGGCCAGGCTCACGCAACCCATCCCAGCTCTTGCTGCTCCCTATGCCAAGGCTGTTTGCCAACACCCACTGTTTGTCAGCAAGTGCAGCTTTCTGGACCCTCCTCCACCCCCACACCCCACCTGGCTACCCTCCCCAAGCTCTACTCTTCCCCTACTCTGGGCTCTCAGTAAAAAGCTTTCTTCAGGGCTCAGGTTGTTGTGTATATGGTTCCTTCCAGACCCTGTCTGAGTTGAGCTTCTCAGGGGCAGAATGTGGACCTGATTTAGCGTCATTCACCCAACACCAAGTACAGTGAGTGATTAGCAAAGATGAGCAAGGTGAAACCATTTCCCTGAGAACAGACACTGAGGCAGAGATCTAGAGGAAAGTCATGAGTGGGGTTTCTCTTAGGAAGGGAAGTCACATCAGCTTTCAGCCTTCTGCCCACTGGAGACACCACTGTCCCCAGCCCTGCCAGGCTTATTCCTGAACACTCTCAAAAGCCTGCTGTATGGGGTTGGAGAGATGACTCAGCAGTTAAGAGCACTGGCTGCTCTTGCAGAAGACCTGGGTTTGGTTCCCAGCACCCATAAGGCAGCTAACAACCACCTGTTACTCCAGTTCCAGGGGACCCACTGCCCTCTTCTGACCTCCTTGGGCATTGCACAACACTGGTGTACTTAGATACATGCAGGCAACACATTCATACACATAATAAAATAAAATAAAATACAAAATATATTTTTAAATCCTAGAGTAACCAATTCCACCCATTCCCACCCAGACATTGTCACCTCAGCTTTCAATAACTATGACAGAGAAAAATCCTTGCAGGAGTGATGGCTCTGCGAATAAAGTGTTTGCTTGTGCAAGTGTGGGGACCACAAGGACCAGAGTTCAGATCCCCAGCACCCATATAAAAGCTGAGTGAAGGGCTGGAGAGATGGCTCAGCGGATATGAGCACTGGTTGTACTTATAGAAGACCCAGGTTCAATTCCCAGCACACACATGGTAGCTAACAACCATCCTTATCTCCAGTTCCAGGGGATCTGACACCCTCTTTCTGACCTCTGAGGGCACTGCACGACATGGGTGCACTTACATACATACAGGCATAGCACCCATAAAATAAAGTTTTTTTAAAAAGCTGAGTGTGTGTGGCGGCCTGCCTAGGTGCACCCAGGAGGCAGAGATGGATCCCTAGAGTGAGCTGGCTAGCTAAATTGGTCAAATCTGTGAGTTCCAGGTTCAGCAAGAGACCCTACCTCGGTAAATAAAGTACAGAGCTGTCAAGGGAGCCACTCAGTGCCGGCTTCTGGCACATACACACATTACACAGAGGTAAGCATATACATTCATGTGCCCACACACATGCACATGCGTACCACATATACAAACACATGCAAAAGAGAGAGAAAATTCCTACAGCTGAGGATCCCCCAAAACAACAGCAGTTCCCTTGAGGGCTGAGCATGAACTACAACATGAAAGACTGTGGGCAGCTTCAAGGAGGGAACTCCCAGTCATGGGTGCTCAGTCATTCCTGGAGGAATGACCAATGAGCAAGGGGAGTGGTGGGGGGGGGCACTGTCCAATCCCACAGAGCCCAGGAAGAGACCACAGCTAGAACCCAGATTGTCCCTGAAGCAGGGGGATGACCCAGCTGACTTTCCTGAGAGCGTCATTCTCACTTGGGGTACTGTTACTCCATCTCAAGGCCCATCACTCACGTTAATTACCGAGAAAAAGCCGATTTCTCCTCATTCCCAGACTCCAAACGACAGTATCATTAGGCTGGTAATGTGCAGAGAAATTGTGCGTGTCTGTCTTGGAACATGTCCTGAGCCAGAATGGGTGAGGGCAACTCGGCAGAGGTTTGCCTCCAGGATGCTCCCTGTGGCAGAGGGCCAACTCCAGAAGAGGTGCTGTGCCACCCAGGTAGAGGTAATCTCCCTCTCTGTTCTGTGGACACCAGTGATGGTGATTCGAATTAAATCTTACCAGCCAAAGGTGTGGATAAAAAGTTCACAACACACAAACTTCGCCAGAGGTTAACAAAGCCCTCCTCTCGCTGAACACGAACTCATGCTTATCTGCTTCCACAACTTTTCCAATCTTTTTTTTTAACCTTCCCAATCTTTCCTGAACCCTTTGCTCTGAGTGTCTATCTACCCCTGAACCAGGAGGCAAAGAGGCATCTGTGCTCACCATTCTTACAACTCTTCTTGGCTGAGCTAGGCCAAGTCCTACAATGCCAGCACCATGCAGTCTCCCCACCCTGGGGAGACTAACTACTGCACATACCTGTTCATACATCACATCAGGCCTCCCTCAAACCCACTCAACACATAGGAAACTGAGGTTCAGACAGGTAGGTGAGCCATACAAGTTCAAGTCTCAGAGCTAAGCTAACCAAAGCTCAGGCTGAGATGAAGCTTGCTCATCTCAGTCCACCAGGTATTCCAGGAACACAGTCCTTCTCCAGCTCCTGTCCTCAAGTTGAGGAGGGTGAGACAGAAGCAGAGAGTACCAATATAATTATAGTTCAGTGTGATCTGAGTCTGACACAGAGGCGGAGTACAAAAGGTTCATCTCACCAGTTGTCAAAGAAATGCAAATTAAAACAACAATATAATACTGGTTTCTAACAATTGAAATTAATACAGGTTTTTGTTTTGCTTTGTTTTGTTTTTTTAAAGAGAGCTGCAGGGTTGACAAGAACTGAAAACGGGACCCTCTCAGGTTCCACTGATGGAGGTTAAATTAGAACAACTTTCCTGGGAGGCCACTGGATAGTTGGTGTCAAGAGCTTTAAAAGCACATAGATCGTTTAGTCCCATACATCTACTTGAAGGAACTCAATCCAAGAAGTAACCAGAGATGTTAAAAAAAAAAAACAGAGCCATGTACAAGGATGCTTGGTGCTGTTATTTATAACTGTGAAAAATCACAGCCAACATAAACGTCTAGCAGTGGAGGGGTAGTTAAATAAATTATGATCCATCCT